GGGGAGGACTCCGGAGGTCGTCTTCCGTTAACGTAAGCAAACACTTGCCATCGATTTTGTGTTCGTCGCGAAACTGACGCACATATGTCTCGAAGCCATTCTTCTGGAGCCAAAGGCCCACATCTTCAGCGCTCCACTCGTCCACCGAATTATCCATAACTCTTTGGGACACAAAACTAACTATAAAATGGCTATAAATGAGCGAATGGTAGCGTTTGTTACACCAAATCAGTTGTCAAATGATTGATATCGTCGACAATATTTGGTTGTAAAGCGAAAAGTCATTCATCTGTGAAGTAATTGTCATAACTTCTTGTTTTTGGGAACTAATTAACGAGCGATACATACATTTCAAACACAATATATTTCAATACAAAAAGCAGTGAAACGTGTGAATCGGTTGCGATTCAAATGTGGTTTACATTCAGAGAAAAGCCAAACAAATGATGAAAACAATATATATTCAGTCAATGATTACCAGAGGAATGGCTTTTTCTTCAGACACTTGTTTTTGATCACAGATTTTGTTCGCTTTGAATGAAGACATCAAATGATTGAGTGATTTGTTTGCAAATCTCGATTCACGAGTCGTTATCTCATCTTTAATCTAGTGATCACTGATTAGAGAGCGAGTGAGAGATAAAGCGGGAGAGAGTGTGAGAGAGTGTGGGGGAGAGAGAGAGTGAGAGAGACATTGGGTTTGAGTTTTTAATGACACGAAAAAAATCAACAAAAAAAGTGATGACTTTTTTTGAACGCATTTCTCACTCATTCAATGAAAAGTGTTTTTGAATCCAATCGCTGGCAATGAGTGCACAAATCGTTGCCAAACATGCATTACGTGCCGCACATTGAGAGCCCTCTGGCATAGCATAGGCTGTGCTGTTGTTGTGGTGTTTGTGGCCGTAATTGACGGGGGCTTTGATTGGGGCCACCCTTTGAGCGCTTGCGTCACACAATCAGACCATAGACTCTATGGCATAGACCATAGTGTCCAAAAGATTGAAAAAAGATTTAACTATTTATTCCCTTATAACCGGACAATAATGAGTAGTCAAATAAAACGTTACGCTATATAGAGGAGAGGGAGAGATTGTGCACAAAATGTTTTATAAAGCAAAAAAGACATTTATTTTGTAAATAAAGTAACGATATATAGTGATGACTATTTGTAGATAAGTAGGGCACACAATTAATTATGTCTAGATAATTCAGTAAAATTGGACATCTTGGCATAGACTCTCATAGACTCTACTGTTGTATAATAGCATTGAAATGTATTGATAGCATAAACAGCACTAAATCGGAGCCCATATTCACATTGAAAGGACAGCGCATTGAATGCATTGAATGCATACACAGTGTGTATAAGCAGTGCTGCAAAACACCATCACTTGATCACACCTTTTGTTTATTTGTGTCGCGAAGTGACCGATCGGTTCCCACACCACCACTACTTCTACTACAACCACTTCTACCACTGCTACCATCGATGGCACCACCAGTTTATGGAGATCTCGGCAAACAGGCCAGAGATCTGTTCGCCAAAAACTATCGTAAGCACAGCTCTGTCTTTCGCGTCCGATTCAGACCTCACCGTAGATCACAAGACACAGACATTACCACCGCATCCACCGATCCCTACCATTCATACACACCATTCATATGTAATGTTTGTCTGACTCTTATAGACTTTGGACTCATAAAGTTGGACGTGAAGACAAAAACGCCGGCGGGAGTGGAGTTCACAGTCAACGGCACCTCCAATAACGACACGGGAAGAGTGAACGCCTCTCTCGAGACGAAGTACTACTTCCGTGACTGGGGTTTCACACTGAAGGAGAAGTGGAACACCGATAACACGTTGGCCACCGAATTGTCGGTCGAGGATCAGCTGATCAAAGGCTCAAAGCTAGCGTTCAGCGCCAACTTCGCGCCCCAAAGCGGCAAAAAGGCCGGTACTCTGAAGTCGTCGCTGAAGGCCGACCACTTCAACGCCAACGCAGACATCGACTTCGACTACGGCGGCGCTCTCTTCCACGGATCAGCTGTTTTAGGGTTTGTTTTCACCCATTTTTCTGTGCATTTATTTGCGGCTCTCATTCTGATTGCGCTTACGTTTCACACAAACACTTAAAACACACTTTCATTTTTATTATCACTTCCACTACTTATCGCTACATTTAATTCAGACTTTGCATTGAATTTTATGTTTATAATAAACGTATTGTATATTATTTTCTGTGCTTTCACTGAGAAGTCCATCAAACGCCAGGTTTCGTATCATTTCTTTGTATCGATTTATTTGCAAACAAACAAATACCGCTCACAAGAGAAAAAATGATGCAATTTTTGTTTGATATTTCTTAGTCTAATGCACTATTTCTTGTTTACCCATTGATATTATACAGACATCAGGGATGGCTGGCCGGAGCGCAGCTGTCATTCGACCCCCAACAGAGCAAACTGACCAAAACAAACTTCGCGGTCGGCTATCAGGCCGGGGAATTCGTTCTCCACACCAATGTGTATGCAATTGATTTTTTTGGTTAAATTTTGAGCCCTTTTTGATTGCAATTATTGTTGACTGCAATGATAGGAACGACGGACAAGAATTCACGGGTTCGGTGTACCAGAAAGTGAACAGTCAGTTGGAGTCGGGCATAAACCTCGCCTGGACTTCAGGCAATAACACCACTCGTTTCGGTTTGGGATGTATTTATAAATTAGATTCCGATTCCAACATCAAAGTATGTATTGCTTTTTGCGATGATTTCCATGTTTTCTTGCGATGAATTGTCAAAAATTATACAATTGTTTACCAATTTTAAGGCTAAAGTAAACAACGCGAGTCAGATCGGACTGGCCTTCACTCATAGACTACGGCCGGGCATAGCGTTGACACTGAGCGCTATGATTGACGGCAAGAACTTCAATCAGGGCGGACACAAACTCGGAATGGGCTTTGATTTGGAGGCTTAGGCCTACCATTCAGTCTTTTCTTTATGTTTTAATCTTCTTTTCAAACCATTAATAACTCTAAACTCTTAGACAAATTTGCGAATCAATTAGTTTTAAACTTCTTTATGCGTAAAGAATATGAATTATTATTAAATCCATAGAAAAACAGACAATACTTTGATTATTGAAATATCAATTATTATTATTTTATGTAACGCTTTAGTTTTGAAGAAAAACAATATTATAAACACTTTTTTGTGCACTTATTGTTAATTAAATATAAAATTAAGAGACGATTTGTAGAATCAAATCAATTATATAATTATTTTTTACAAAATGTAGCAAAAAACAGGATTATTATACAATATTGTACATTATGTACGCTATCTATGAGCTAATGCTAGCACTGGACTCGTCATCTGAATTAATGCTTAAACTCTCGACCAAAGAGTCGAGTGATTCGTTACTCGACTCCGAAGAACGGGAAGAGAGATAATTGACGCCTTTGTCCTGATTATACACCTCTTCGAGAAT